TGATACTTGAGTAAAAGTAAAAGTATCTTATCATAAAAATACTTTGGTAAAAGTTAAAATATTCTCTAAAGATTTTGAGTAAAAGTAAAAGTATCTTATCATAAAAATACTTTGGTAAAAGTTAAAATATTCTCTAAAGATTTTGAGTAAAAGTAAGTATCCGATGATGTTTGTACTTAAAGTAAATTTCTGACACAAAATCTACTTAAGTATTAAAAGTAAAAGTACTGAGTAAAAGTGAGCAGTTAGATTTTCCAAAATGACATTTATTGGGAGGTGACTTCTCCAAAAACTATATTTTCTAACAGCGTGCAGCTGTGATGGGTTGTGTACAAGCTAATAGTGTGTCAGAATGGTATATATTTATACTTCTCATCCAACTGAAGAAATTTATAGATTAGCACTGATGTTAGAAAACTACACCAGATTATAGGGTTTCATTATTTTATAATACTTGTATAATGTTTGATCTATTATGTGTTGATTGAAATAGAGTAGCTACATGTCCGAATTTATATACAACACATAAGTGAACCGTTTTTTAAACCATTAGAGTGAGGTCTTTGTCTGAATGCCTGTGATTCAGCCGTAGGTCAGCAGGGGGCGAACTCAGGCATTGAAGAATCGTGTATAAAAAAGGGAACTTCCTGTCTTTCATTCAGTGTGGTTTTGCTTGTCAGTCCGGTGACAAATAAACCTCACTGAGATCCAGAATTCTGGTGTTGTATGACCTTATTCCTTTTGCAGATCAATTTATTTAACTATTGTGTTTTAATCTGACTTCAGTCGATATTGAACACGTATTTCTTACAAATTCACTCTATTCAGGAGACACTATTTATCAGGATAGTATTTTTTAAGTAATAACAACTCAGAATAAAATAGGAGCAACGACTTTCTACTTCTTATCTTTTTTAAAAATGTAGTGAGTAGAAAGTAGGGCTGTGTATTGGCAAGAATTTGGCGATTCGATACATATCATAACAGAGGGGTCACGATACGATACATCCCGATATATCGCGATACTGTAAGCAAGGCAGTATATTGCAATATATTGCGATTTTTTTTTTTGTCCAAAAAATTTATTAAATAAAAACCTCTTACTGAAAAAAAAAAAGCTAATGTTTACTTACAATGCTTACATTGGCTGTGTCCAAAACAGCAGGCCGGGTCCTCCGAAGGTCGAATTCGTCGGCCGCATACGTCACAGCGCCGCGACGAAGGACRTCCAAAACGGAAGACTCCTCCGATGCGGCCGACAAATACGTCCTTCCTTTGGCTCGAATCGAAGGACTGGTCCGATGGATCCTTCCCGGCCCAGCGTATCCNCCATACAACAGGGCCTTCTGCTGTTGTACAGTGATGTTGCTGCTACAAATGGTTTTTATTTTTTATATAAACACAGTAAAAGTAAGCTGACCTTGGTTCCTGGAGTTCCAGGTTCTCCTCTGTGCCCTTTAAAACCCTGAGGAGGAGGAGGAGGAAGCAACACGTTAGTTGTGGGTGTACTGGAAGCCTTTTCTCTCAGATCTGATTACTGGTGCAGACTTACTGGGAGGCCCCTGAGTCCAGGGTTTCCTGAAGGTCCAGGTTCACCTTGCTTGCCCTACAGAACAACAGAAACAGGTAAAGATGAAACAGAATGTGTTTGAACATTAATAATCTGTGTATCATTCGTTTCAACTGTCAATCAAAAATTTAATAATGAAAAACTGATTGATTATTCATATGTTTTATTTATAACACCAAAAATAAAAACATGCCTGTTTTTACATATTTCACTTTAGGCTCAGATCAAAAACGAAGTGAAAAAACGAGCAGTGTGTGTTTTGGTCACTGGATTTTCCTTTTGGAAACATATTAAAAAACAAATGAGTGGCTGTGTGATTTCTTGGTTTAAAATACAGAAAATAAAATAAAAAACAATGCATTTCCCTTTCTTGGAGTCATTTTTTAATGATGTGTTTCATTTTCTGTTTCGGATGACAAAAAAGAGAATTACTTTGAAACAGAAACAGAAAAAGGCTTGTTTGTTCATACTCCATGACAGGTCGTGCCAAATCACTGGATCCTTAAAATAATGTTCCCCCACCAGAAGGAAGGGGCTCTTATCTGGCAGTTCTGCATAATAAAACATTAATTTCTGTAAATAAAAGGCTGAAACACAGACATGTACGTCCATAAATGAGTTGTGTGACTGTCACTCTGTGATTAAGGGCTTTGCACAGGTTTGTGTGGTTTTGTTGGACAAATAAACCTCTTTTATTGATGTATTACCTCCATTTCACCTCCACTTCTCTTAATAAAAAGCTAAAGAAGACAGTTTTCATTACATTAGTGTGTTGTATGGTTGTTGTTCAGTGAGCAGAAAGGGTATTTTTTTCTTAGCCTTTTAACAAAATCTGTGCTTTTTCCTGTCAGTTTATATTCCCTGAGTTTTCCTTTTTTAGCAAGGGGTAGGCAATACTACGACTGATATTTATCTGATACCAAGTAAATATACTCGATACCAAAGTTGATTTGGTGTTTTATTTTTAATGGGATGTTCATAGAATAACTTTGATATTGTGAGAGCCCCTTCTGGTGGGGGATCAGGTTATTTTAGGGAAACGGTAATTTGACACAACAAACAAGCTTTTTGTCACCTGAAACTGAAAATGAAACAAATAATTTTTAAAATTTTACTCATCCTTTTTGACACTGAGAAAGGGAAATACTTTGTAT